AAAAAAAAAAAAAAAAGCTACTGAGTGATCAGAGTCATCCCAGAAGCATACTGTGGAGTATGCCATATGTGTAGACTTAATAATTTAATCTTTCATTAGCCACCCTGTGAAGACTGGTCCCTTCCACAAGCACAGATGTAAAGACACAGTGACTGTCTATTTGGAATGACATGAAAGTCAGTTAAACCCTCCTCTGTGAAAAGTCATACAAATGCTGCTGAAGAATCCAAAAGGTCAGAAAAAGCCTTTTGAAAAACTTTTGAAATCAAGCTATAAAACCCACAAATACGGCAATCAGTGCTTTGAATATATCCTACGGGGATTTTGATTCCAAGAAATGGTTCAGCTGTATTTAAATATTTTCTTTGAGCCTAAAAAAAAATCAAAGACAGTTGACAGTGATCTATCTCTAAGCTGCAGATAAATAGATATTTCATGACCCTCTGCGATTTTCTCTGCTGTCACTCTTTCTCTATATGGGGAGAGGTAAGCAATTAGTAATTGTGATGCTGTGCTCTAAAAAGGAAAGATTTTAGATGAGACATGAAGAGCTTCTTTCATCTGTTTTCACTCAGCTGCCCCACTGAGCAGCCTCACTGCTCACGCTAGAGTCCCCAAAGCCCACCTGCTCTGGCAGCTGTGGACATAAAGCCTAGCAGGAGCTACCATTTGCCTCACACCCTCAGACCCACAGAGTGACAGCAGACCCACCCACTGCCATTTTCCTGAGCACTACCTCTCTTACGTCATTCCTGTCCATTTCTTTGCTCAAATCTTTGTCTTCTTCTCCACTGTTATGAACGCTTGGGCAAAGAACATCATGTTCAAAATGAATGCATGGTGTCAAATTGCTCCCCATCTATACAGTATATTTTTATTAGTACGAGTTTGTAGTATATAATTTGGCATTTCTTGTGGGAAATGGGTGCGTGACATAACACTTCTTGATTCCTTTTTCATCTCCTTTCTCTCCCTTCCCTCTCTTGATCCACTGCTCCTTCCCCTTGAGAAAGATCTGTCTCCTTGCCTCATATTTTCTATCCTTTCTTTTGCCCTTTATTTATATTTTAGGATTTTCATATAAGAGAAACTATGTGATATCTAAGCTTGTGTGTCTGCTTTATTCCACTTAACATTATAGCCTCAATGTGCATCAATTTTTCTGCAAATGACTCAACTTTATCTTTCTTTACAGCACAGCAGTACTCCATAGTGTGTAAATACATTTTCTTTATCCATTCCTCTATTGGTGAGCATATAGACCTTCCCCAAAGTTTAACTACTACAAATTGTGCTACTTAAGCATGGGTTTGCGTGTATCGCTGTAATATGACGACTTTAACTCTTTTGGAAAGATTCCTAAAAGGGGAGCAGCTGGGTCATACAGTATTTCAACATAGTATTTTTTAACTGCTGACACACCATTAGCCTGTAAGACAAGGAAGTCCTCTGCACTGGCCCGGTGTTACTCTGCTAGTTACTCCCCTGTCTTGGAGACTTCCTGCCTATGAATCAGTTCTGCAGTGAAGGCTTTGGTTTACATATTTCTTCCAAACACTTTTTGAAAATTCGAATACTAGCAATTCTTTCAACTCTTGTTTACATTAGCAGTTATGCAATCAAAGCAACTTCATTGACAAAAATTTACCACTCTGAGAACAATATTGTTCATTGCTGAATTCTGATACAGATATTTTAATAGTGCATTTATAAGTTAAGTGCTTCAGCAATCATGTTTTCCAGCTACAAAAGGGCTAAAGAGACACAAAGTAAAATTAATTCCTACACATCAGTTATTTATAACTGAATTCAGTACGGTCTTGGGAGGTAAACCCAATAACATCGTGAGATGTTCAGAGGAGCTGTGGACTCATTACAATGAATGGTCAATCTTCACATTATTCATTTATGTCCAAGCATTTAAATACCTTTAACACCACAATGGATAGAATAAACTGGACAGATATAAATCTTGAGCATCACCCAGCTTTGCTGGAGCAGCTGTTTATGTCACCAGATAGTACTGTGCGCCTGTGCATATACCAAAGCAGACAAACAGCAAAGCAGGAATGACCGACTTACTAATAATCCTCCCCAGGGCTTCAGCCGGCCTGATGTCTGTGTTTAACGTTTACTTCCAGCACTTAACTAACCCACTCAAGGGCATGAAGTGTCCCAAAGGGGAAAGTGTAGAGAATTTGTATCCTAAGACACTTCAGAAACCCAAGGAGATGTTCTTATAAATTAACACTTAGAAAAATTAACTTTACACGTACTAATATCTTATCCATTTAAAAAAAATTTTAAGCAGGAGCTTTGAATAGTACTGTCAAAATTTTCAACATTTAACAGATATCACACAATTTATTTTCTCATCTTGGTATTGCTCTATGTGATGAAAACTCATTCTTTACCTGTAAAACTGATGTTTTGGGGCCATTTAAATCCTATGCTAGTCTATATTATAGAATTCTAAATCTTTTGTACAATATATTCTAGATAGCAGACCTCAATCTTGAAAAGGAATTTTTTTAAACTAAGCTTTGGAATTTCTCAAATATTTAGTATCCTCTTCCAAATTTAGATCTAGCCACCCCAACAGAATATCATGCAACCTTTTTGAACCATCTAAGATAATTCATTTTAAACTGCATCTCAGAATAGCCCACCAAAGTCAAAGTTAATTAAACAAATCTTATTACACTCTTAATAAGCCATGTATATTAGTAATAGCCAATGAATTTTGATATATTTCTGTAGAAAGATCACAAAAAGGAAAATGACAGCATATTTCCAAAACATTGTGTGTTCTCCATAGCAAAATTACCCCTGGCCATTGTACTGTCATTCTGACAGACGCAATTTTCCAAAAGATGTATTTGTCCATATTTACAGCAGCTGATAGAATTTCAGTTGATTGCTTATGACATTTTGTCTAGACTAGAAGGGCAATGTCTACTACAGAAATTTCATTTTGGGGAGTAAGGCAATATTTCATACCTCAAAGGCCAAAAGATGAAATGATCTCAAAAGATATATTGCCTTACATCCTTTAAAAAAAAAAAGTGTCAATTTTATTTTGAGGCATCACAAGCTAAATAATCATAACCCAGCTAGTCTTTAGATAGCTCTTCAATCATTTTTGGCTTAATCCAGAACATTGTTTATTTTTTAAAAGGCATTGCCCACTTTTTAATTCCCTGGCACGTTCTGAGCTTGCAAGAACCAAGGTTTACAGGAAAATAAAAAGGGAATTAGCTCTACTTAAATTTCCACTGGCATTTTTGGCCTTTCCATTGGTGATTTTGGAGCTCAATAGCAGAAATGTCAAGAAGAGTTCCATCCTTTGCTGACAGAGACAATAGAAAAAAGGGCATGAAAATGAATCTCAATTAAATTTGAACAAATGAGTCTGAACTCTGTCTTTGTATATCTAGATGCCAAGTTGGCAACGTAAGAATCACATGTGAGGACAGTATCATTCTGACTGTAAACCAGATAACAATGGCTGCAGAATTCAGTAATAAGAATGATTCTTTTCATTTACGAACTGTCCCTCCTTTCATTAAGTGTTTGCTCAATACCATCAAAGTTATAAACAATATAAGATTTAGGGAAAGTCAAAAGAGTTAACAGGAAAAATACCTATCAGTCCATGTCTGACTGCTTTGTATTTAAGAGGCAAATGCATGAGCATTCAGTCCTAGTCAGTATTTGTGCCTGTAAGAACAGTACTCGCCCCTTATCCTCATTTCTTACCCCAAGCACACATACATACCGCAGTTTTCTTCATCACTGCCATCATCACAATCAGCCTGGCCATCACATCTTCTGAAAGCCAGAATGCATCCTCCTGAGTGGCACTTGAAGTGACTAGGTGAACATTCTGTTAAAAACAACACTGCTCTCAATGGAAGAACCTCTGAAAACTTCAAGTAATCTATTTGTTTACTTATAGGATGTTATTGCATAGCTATGACTGAAAGTAAGACAGTCTTCTAAAAGGTGAAGCAATTGAAGTGTACTAGAGTTTCCTCAGTCTACTCATCAGCATCATTCTCCTTCCTGCTTGCTACTAACTCTCCAGATTAGCAGTTTAGTGTCTATGCCTTCTATGCTAATTATCCTTCTAAACGGAACACCCAGTCATGGCCAGGGCCTGAAACGCCTTTGAGTGTCAATGCTCCTGACCACTAAGTTGCCCTCAATGTGTCAGAATCATTTCCATGTCTCAGTATTTCCAGTTGATGGATAGGTCCCCAACTCCAGTGATCTACTTAATGATCCTACATTGTCAGGGCCTCCAAATGCTTTACATTTTAATGAGCCACAGCTTGATGTTCACCATTGCTTTCAGTGGTAATGTATACAGGCAATGTATACCTGTGCACAGGTAGCAACTACATATAATCAGCTATGTGAATACATTAAAAATGATAAACAGCTGGAATATACATTCATCTCTTAGTTCATTTTATTTCTTAAGGAGATTTCTTCATTTTTTAATAAAGATGACAATGTCTAACAGATAGATGCCAAAGTCTTCAGTGTAATCATGTTCATGCATTCACTCACTTATCCGGGCTGATTGGCTACTAAATAGAAAACAACAATACTCCCAATACTGAAAGAATGACATGGTCATCTGTCTTAGATGCCCCACTGTAATGAATGAAAAACTAACCTTCCACATCTTCATCAGGCATTAGGCAGGTTTGATTGTCAAAATTTTCATCTGGAAATTGATTACAATCTGTGTCTTCAGGCCACTGTAGGCCCACAATCCCAAGAACAGACTCACAGCGTTCTTTCGAGTGCTCACACAGTGCTCTAAAAGAAAAAGGAAGACAGATGTCAGAAATAAAATAGCTCCACCTGAGAGGTATGTTAGGAATGTATGTGGGATTTAATTCTGCCTGAGTGTAGGTCTGGGCCTGTACATAAGGAGGATATATACAAATATATAGACATGCACATATATGTAATAAGTATTTCGGGAACCAAAATGAGTAATATCACTACAAAGAAAATACATTCGAGAAACAAATTTTCACCAAGGGAAATTTCACTGCCGAAAGCAAAACAGGGATATTTCTGGGACCCAGATTCCCTTCTCCACCTTTGCCTTTTTTATTCTCTCTTCTGCCTTCCAAGCAGACACATTCCCCAACCTTTTGTTCCAAGCAGCCAAGTCTACCAAACCCTTTAGGTAGCCTGCCACCAAGGGCCACGAGATCCACCACAGCCCATCCTCAGTGGTCTCACCCTGTGTGAGCAGGCACCACCTTCACTTACTTAAGGTGTAGCCTCTCTTACTTCAGTTTTGGCCAGTATTGCTGAAAAGTTCAGGAGTTCTGCCATTCCCTTGTATGTTGAGATCAAGTTAATTAGAATGGTTTGTTTTTACTTTTAAAGAAAGGATATAAGCATCATGGTAGGTACTCTAGTAGATGTTATCTCCTTTGTGCCCAGAATACATTTAACTTGAGGTATAGGTCTGCCTTAAACAATATTTCTTTACTTCATATGGGGAAAAAATGTTTTGCTGCAGTATATTACTAAGAAATATAAATACATAGGAAAAAGTAAACACAACCAAAAAGCTAGGCACATTTATTTTCTTTAAAATCTGTTTTTACTTCTCAAAAGATTTAAACTCTAAGCAACCCTAACCCAAATATCCAAACTCAGAAATGCTCTAAAATCCAAGTTGGAATACATCAAATTTTGGTTTTCCAGATTTTAGAAATACTCAATAAATAAAGTCTATACAAATATTCCCCAAAACTCCAAATTCTGAAACATTTCTGAAGCCAATAATTTTTCATAAAGGATATCTGATCTGTGTAGCTAATCTCAAACAGCCTTTTCCTTTTTTAGACAAAATGGGACAGATCTTCCAGAAAATTCATCTCCAGTCTTGACAGAAACTAGAAGGGAAAGGTTGGCATTGGAGGAAAATTCAGAGAAACTACGTCAATGTAAGTCTGGATATGGCAAAACATAACTCGGTTTATCTTCAAAATTGGGGGTGAAGATGAAGCCATGACTTTCCCATATTTAGTTTGCAAAAATAAGAAACTCAGTAGTGTTCAAAACTGTCTCAGAGAGTAAATAATTTTGTTACAGATAGGTAAGAAATTTACACATTTCACTTGCCACTGTTATTTTAGTATGCTTATAAGGAAGGTTGTGCAGTGGCTAATTTTAACTGTTTTGATTTTTTTCTATAAATGGAAAAAATAGCAATATGTAGCATCACAATTCCGGGGTCACTGTTCTTATCAGAATCTGTGTGCACTTAGCCAGAGCCACAGCTCTGGGGGTGCACACCTCCCTCAAAAGGGGATTCTGGACAGAGGATGGCAAATAGGTCCTCAAGCATTTAGCACATGCTTGATAATGGTATATTTTTTCAGACATGTATCTTAAAAATTAAATGTAAGAATTGCTACATTGACTTGATAAAACATCCATGCATTGCCTCATAAGCTTACTAGTATATTCTTTTGTCATAACACAGTTTTATAAATATCAAATTCATATTGACAGCCAGTGGAGATTAACAATACATAAGAAACAAAATCAAAGTACCCAAAATAAGTTCACTCACTGAGTGAACATCTCAAAACATTCTCACCTTAGTCACTTAGATACAAGATTTAAACTCTGAAATTATAAATTATGCTTGGATGTAAATTTACATTTATAGCAAAGAGTGCTGAATTAGAGAAAAAAAATATATGTGAAAATAAATCAAATATGAGGATTTCAAGTACTGCTAAAAGAAATTATTTAATATTACTTGACTTTAGTTAACCTTTCAGTAAGCTTTCAACATGAAATTGGTAGATGCTCTATTAGCCATTGTTTAGAAAAGCATTTAACAGCAGTTTTTGGAATTCTTGGACAAGCCAACACTAAGTTTTACTCTCTGCCTTTCACATGATTTGTTCAGTTTCCCAAGTCACTTTGAAATTTTATTGTTTCCTGTCCTGACTCCATACGGTTCCTACTTTGTCATCCATTTGATATTCAGTATCTAATTTATTGTTTTTCCATCTGTCTACTAGATCGATATGATTGCTTTTTCTTAAAGCTCTGAGTGACTTCTGATCCCAACATGTGGTTTCTGGAGTTTCCACTCACATTTAGCAAGCACATCTGCATGGTCACCCGTGACAAAAAACAGCACTGAGAGCAGGAAACACCTGTGTGAATGTCACATTGCGTGTGCAAATGCTTTCACTACAACCGCTAACACATGGCACAGAAGAGCAAACTGCTACCATGTAACTATGGTCCTGTGCTGACATTATAGGGCTTACAACCCATCAGAAGTACTTTACTCTGGTGTACTTGCATTTAACCTCACAACAATCCAGCTCAATAACCACTACCATGGTATTTTACTAGGTAAAGAAACTGAGGCTGAGAGAGACTGAGCAATTTGACTTTAGCCTCAACAGCAACAAAGAAGATCTAGGACTTGAACTCAGAGAATAAACCCAAGAGCAGCAGTCTTGACCCTGAGGATGTTACTCACACCCAACGTCCAAGATGAACTCATTTTATTCAGACAGACAGAAAAGTGTCCACTGCACATCAAATGCTGCTGAGAAAGAGGTATGTGTACTTCTGCCAACTCATAGGCTCTTAAAAATGCTTCTTGAGTGACCAAATGAAATGCCTGTGATTTTACTCGATGGCCTTCCAGTCAACTCAGTCTGTACCTTCCTAGTTTGGTAGCAAGCAATAAATTCTGACATGCCCATTTTATACCTATGTCTTCACTTTTTGAAGACATCATTTGTGAAATCGAACCCCCTAGCAATATTAATCTCTTCCTAACTCAACTTCCTTCCCTTGGTTCTCTCAAGAGATAAAATTAGGTTGCTTTTGAAGACTCCATCATATTACCTGCAAGGGGGAATACGTTGACTTGTATTCACATCACACTTCGGTACCAAAATTGTGCAAGCAAAGAACATGAGATATTTGTAACAGTTGGTTGGAACAAGTGCCGGAAAAAGAGAGGACTCCCAGCTGATGGATGCTTCCTTTTGAGTCCTGTGGCCAAGGTAATTTGGATATTTTGTGTGGTTGTAGGGCAAATTCATGCACAGTTCCAGTGTAATTGGTTCACACTGACCTAACAAAAGATACACACAAATATTTATTTTTTTTTAAATTGCACTTGTAAAAACAATTTCTTTAAACTTTACAAACTGAAAGTCTATTTCGTTCTTTAGAGTACCTGAGACTGGAATGCAAGTAATATATGACATTTTTTCTATGGATACTAAAAAATGACTAAGTTGGTTAAGTGTCATGATGAACTAAGATCCATTTCTGTATATCTGGCTGCCAACACAATGCATGATATGGACACATTGGAAAGTCTTATTTTCCTGCCTTGACTCGACTTATCTAAAAATGGTTCTCGCTCATCATTCCTTTGACATTAATTGAATTCACCTTCTTCTTCGGAATCATTACTTCTAATAGAGCCCCCACTACCTTCACAGCTATTCAAAATGACCAGATAATTTGATTAAACAGGTAATTAGAGAATTTCTATCTATATGCTTTATTGTTGATCAGTGGATTTAAATATATGGCTACAACTTTTTAGGACAAAAGGAGGGTGAGATCTATTCAATACTGTATGCTAATAAGTACAAAACACAGATGCCTTTTTTTTTGTACAGGGAATCGAACTAAGGACCTTGCGCTTTCAAGGCAGGTGGTGGCACCACTGAGCTAAATCTCTGGCGCTGATACTTTAGCTTGGAACCTATGTCACTCTTCAACGGTAGCCTAACTTGCCAACACGTGACTATGCCCTCAATAGATCTGGATTCTACTCCCCTGCAACACCAATACTGTAAGAAGTACACCTCCTGTTGCTCCTCTCATTTTTCTTTTTTTTTTTTTTTTACATACTTGCAATTATCCCCTGAAATGTTCTAGCCTTTTCCACCTTCTTCACCAAATTAACTCCTCCTTGGCTCAGAGAATTTGGCACAAACACCAGCTGCAGAAGACTTTCTGGCCATCTGCTCTTCCCACTCCTATTGCTCCTCTGGGTGCCATGATTTCGTCAGCACGTTCCTGTTGTGCCCTCGATGCACTTGCCATTATGCTCTACTTGCATACTTTCCTCCTCTACACAGTTCTATAATTTTTGAGGAGTTAGAATTTATATCAGTCTCAGGGTCTGTACTTTGTACCATGCCAGACTGGAGGCAGAAAATGGGAGTGAAAATGTGTCACAAATGATCCTAGGAACTACAAAGGCAAAAATAATGCAAAATAATGCCCCTACCATTGAGTAGTTTCACCATCTTGATAGGCAAAAAGATACACATACTGGTAGCTGTAGAATAACATGAACAGGCTAGGACAGAGTTTGCCGTGCACTACGTTAGTGTTTCTCTCACCCTCAAATTCATATATAGAAACCGCGGGCCCCCACGTGACAGTGTGCAGAGGCAGAGCCTTGGAGGTTGTTGGGTCTAGATGAGGCCTGGATGGGGATGGAGCACCCAGTATGAGGTCAGTGTTCTTATATAAAAAGGAAGAGACCAGACCTGTCACTCTTTCCACTAGGTGAAGATAAAGGAAGGCAGCAGCGATCTGCAAACCAGGAAGAGGGTCCTCACCTCAGACCAAATCTGCAAGCACCTTGATCTTGATCTTCCAGCCTCTAGAACTGTGAGACACAAATGCTTGTTGTTTAAGCCCCCCGATGTGACAGATTTTGCTATGGCAACCTCACCTCATTAAGACAGTGGTATTGAGCAACATGTTAGAATCCCAGAGGCAAAAAGTGGAGCAAGGGCAGCTAAAGGGACAAGAGCAACAAGAGGAGCTTTCAAGGGTAAACAGGTTTGGGTGCGTTTGGGGACGCAGTGGAGAGTCTCCCTACCCCCTTGGTGATCCCAGTGGCATTCATGTTTCCTGAGCTGAGAAAAGCAATCAAGTGAGTGTCCTGCTAAAATTAGAACAAGCAAGCTAAAGATCCCATGTCCTATTCATTATGCAAATTAATTATCATTATCTGACTAGGAAGTGTTACACATGCAAACAGATTACTAACTTAAAGACTGGGGTGAGACATTAAAATAGCAAAAGACTACTTCCTAAATTAAAGAACTTGAGCGCTTCACAGGTACTAAGTTCATAAGGACCTTGACACTGGCTAGATTAAAAATGACCTGGACAGGGTATAATAGGACCCTCCACTTCCTGGGGCAGATATGACACTGGGAAGTTGCCACGCTCATGAGGATGAGCACAGGGTGGAGAGAAGAGGAGATGCAGGACTAGCATTCATTGTGCTTGTTGTTTCCTTTGACTTATGAAGGAGGAGTGTTGTGGACTAAATGTTTGTGTTCCCCAAGGTTCATATACTGAGATCTTAGCTGCCAGTGCGACGGCACTCGGGGGTGGAGCCTTGGGGAGATAATTAGGTCATGAGGTCAGGGCCTACATGAAGGGGATTAGTTCCTTATCAATGGGGCCTCTGAGAATTCTACCATATGAGGACAAAAAGAGAAGTTGGGCAAGCAGGTGAGCTAGACACGGTGGTGTACACACGTAACCCCTGCTACTCAGGGTCTGAGGAAGGAGGGCTGCAAGTTCATGGCCAACCTGGGCAACTCAGTAAGATCCAGAATCGCAACAAAAGATAAAAAGGCCTGGGAATGTAGCTCAGTAATGGATTGTCCCTGGTGCAATCCCTAGTACAGAAAAATAAATAAAAAGATAAAAAAGCAGAATTTGGCCATCGCAACCCAGAAGGTCCTCACCAAAATCCCCTGGTGCTGGCACCCTGATCTCAGACTTCGAGCCTCTGAAACGGTGAGAAATAAATTAGTACATTATTGATAAGCCACCTAGTCTGCAATGATTTGTTATATCAGCCAAAACCTGGGAGAAAAGTGACATTTAAGTATCTTGTTTTTATATTTTAAAAAATACATGGTCCTTGTAAGAATACAAGGTGAAAACCATAAAGAAATCGTTCATCATCTCATGCCCTGCTCTCACCTGCCCTCAAAGGCAGAAAACAGGGTTGGACACTTCTGTACCTTTCCTTGCTCACGTTTATGCTGCAACCTTCACAGGCCTGGCCAGATTTGTGTTTCCTTTTGCCAAAGTAGAGTCATGCTTTTTCCAGTACTCTTCAACTTGCTTTTGTTGCTTCACCATTTATCATGATCTTAGAAATCATAGATGCATCTTTTTCCCTAATTGAGTTGTAATGTTTAGATGGGTTTATTCACACAGAGTAATTTTTATTCAGTCTTTTGCCCTCTACCTGTGTCTTTTCTTTTTCTTCCTTTACTACTCCATAGAGGTTTAAATTTTCATTGCTGTTTCATTCAGATAATTCATATAGCGTATGGATGAGTTTTCTCTCTTTTGATATATGGAGACTGTATCACTTTCTTTTGTGATATATCAATTTTGTGATAAGATGAGACTTTTAAGTGTTTGAGACATGGGAGGGAGAGGTATTAAGTGAAGATCCTATATAATTCTGGAGATATTTATCGAATGTGGTGAAGCTGATTAGATGTTGTGTTTAATCCCTTTATAAGGTATTCTTTACAGACTGCCGAGCAAGTTAAACTGTCGGGATACTGTACTTATCAAAGCAGATGCCGTGATTTATATCAATAAGTTTTTTTGTTATTACTCACTCATGAGCTTGATTCTCAATGGCCACTAGAGGGCGATCGCGTCACAAACGCAAAGATGTTTACCACAGAATTGGGTTTCCACAGGGAGTTCAGTGCAGTGCCTAGCGGAGTCCTGAGCACAGATGAAGTTTAATAAACATCCTTGAAAAACAAACCTAGTGGAATTTCAGTGACATTTCACCTTTCTGAGTCTGAAAGAAGATTTACTGAATTCAACCTAAAAAGGAGGCTGTTAGCTAACAATGTTACATCCTTATCATGATGCGATTCTATGAAGTCACTGGAAGTCACGTATCAAATGATGTCAATTACATAAAAAGGTCATTTTTCGACATCCACTTACATATACAATATTAGGAGATTCATCTTTGCCTCAACCTTTAAACTTCTCTTTCTTTTTATTATTTCTCATTGTTTGACACGTTATAAGGCAAACATCCTTACAGCTGCCACTCGGGTCAAGACGCTCAAATTGCCGGAGGCCCAGAAGCTCCCTGTATGTCCGGTCTCATCCCACTCTTTTCCTTTTCACAGCATTGAATGAGTCTCGCCGCTCTCGCTTGCTTTTCTTTACAGAGACTTGTTCTACTCCCTGGTACTGTTGTTTACCTGCATCTATTTTTTTTTTCAAATTTGTCTTATCTTTTTAATTTTTTCAAATTTGTTCTACTTTTTTTTTGTACCAGGGATCGAACTTGGGTCCTTGTGCTTGCGAGGCAGGTGGCGGAACCACCTAGCTAAATCCCTGGCCCTTGTCCTACCTTTTAAGTCGCTCAAAATCTCTGAGTTTCCTCTCTATGCATTTTTCTTTCAGTTTCACTACTGACAAATGGGGAGATGCGCCCTGTGGAATGTACCTGAGTTCAATTTCTCTGATCTCGTGCTACTGGGAAATTTAAACTTGGCCCCACCTTGGGCAGCTGAGCTCCGAGGAGCCACCAGGCTTCATGCCTTAGGCCGACCACTTCCATCGGAAGCCACCTCATGTATGATTCCCACCTCTTTGTACAATGGCAGCATCTGTTGATGCTCCAAGCCTTGAACTTTTAATTCACTGTGTTACCGGATAGTAACATTCTAACCCAGTCATTCGTTTTTCACTCTTCTTTGGGGAGGCTTTTCTGAAGACTTCCCTTCTACCATTTGCTCCACAGAATTGAAGCCCTTACTCGTTACTATGTTTGGCTTCTTTACCATGTTCCTATGGATTTGTTTCTTCCAGCCAGAGCTCAAAAGATGGGATAGGAAATTATAAATCTGTAGGAAGATATTCAAACCAAAGCTGTTCCTTTTTTCTCTTCCTCTGTTCTCATAAGAGACTTAGAAGGTGGAGAAATCAAATACATGCACAAACACTGGAAGTAATGGCGAACAAAACGCTGGAAGGAATTCGGGAGCGTGGCTGGACACGTGACAGCCAGACTCCCTTTGGCTCCACAGGCCAAGGCACAGAGAAGGGGAGAGGGGCGCACAGGAGTAGCTCCTCCTGCCTTCCTGCCGGATTCCCCAGCAGCCCAGGCTGCACAATATGAGGGGAAGCGATGTGTTAGCATTCCAGCTCCTCCCCACCCACGAAGGCAAGGATTTGTTCACATTTTCCCTCCCACCAGGTCACAAAGATGTTTGCGATGCTGGGCTGTGACTGGAAGGGGTAGCAATGGACTGATAGGCTTGAACTATCACAGTTCTCTCAAGAAACAACTTTTTAGTGGCCTTTTTGCTCCTTCTAGTCACAGCCACGTATCACAAACACACACATATCTGTCACTGTCACGGTGTCTTGAAACATTAGAATCGAAGTGAATCTTCTGAAAAGGTTGCCCCATTAGGCAAAATCCCCACTTCCATCAAACCCATTTTCCATGGGCACAATGTCAAAGAGAGCACTACTTGCTTGCACCTCGGAAGCTTTGTAATCATAGTTACTGAGAGTGGTGCACACTTTCAGATGGCCGATCACATCTTCAAGGGTACAACACATTTTCTGAATGGAGATGCCACCTGTCTACCTTCACAGAGAACCAAACACGCATGCCCAATCCTGAGCCTCTTTGAAAGATAAGAAATGGCATCTCACTCTCCAACCAAAAATTAGGCCCATGCAGTTTTTAACAACAGGGGGAATGAGGAACTGGTTCCTGACCAACGCCAGTGTTTGGAATGCAGAAGAAGACACGTTAGAATAATTGTCCATACATGTGTACAGAACCTTACGTGATTATATAAGGTGCAGAAGGAAGTTGGTGAAGGGTGAGGGCTGGGGAAACAGCATGTTTGATGAATATTAAGAGAGAAACAAATGGAAAGATTATAGTATGTCCCCTGCCTTGAAAGTTACCTCCAGAAAGCTAGACGCATCTGTCTTTCCTTCACCATGAAAGAGCTCAGGGCCCGTGTGCCTGAAACTTCATGCATGCAGTATAAATTTTGGGTGAATGTACAAGCTTTTTACCTTTTCTACAACTTCTATTCTTGACAGGTGTGAAAACAGTTTTTAAATTTTAAATCTGGATGCATTTCAAACATAGAGACAACAGGATAGCACTCCCAGTGACTCCTTGCTCACCACTGACACGGGCTTTTTCCCTTCTTCTCTTCTGAGTCCCTCAGCAAGTGCCTTTCATGTCAACCCCCAAAACATTAATGAGAAACACATGCCTCCAACAAGTAAAGAAGTAATTCTGGAAAAGCTCGGGGAAGATTGGGAGATGGGCAGAATGAAAACACTGGACCAGAGGGTATACTATATAGGCACACATGCATGTGTGCAAATCTACATGTACTATGTAGATGACATATATTTAAGTCAGTTTGTAGGGAATAAAACGACAGTGTGAATATGTCTTCTTAATAGCCAGACTACTCTCTGCAGCTCTTTCTGAGAGTGCTAGGGTTTGCCTGTTTGAAATGCACATCAGAGTTTAATCTCCACTTTAGAGGTAGGTACCCTCTTATGAGGAGAGAAGCTTAACCAGAATATGATTATAGAAGCAGGGTCTTTGGAGAGTGATTTGAATTAGACAAGATCATCAGGCTGAGGCCCCAGGATTGAATATTAGTGGCTTTTAAAAGAAGCAAGAACATTGTCCCTCTGTGTGTGATTCATGCCCTGAGCCACGTCCGTTCTCTCCAACCAGAAGGCCAATGCCAGAGGTGGCCCCTCAGCCTCGGAATACAACTCTGAGCCCAAATCATCTCTGTCTTGATAGCTTACCTGATGTATGGTATTAGTTTACAAAAATGGGCTAACATATGGGGAAATTGTCCCCACATATGAGAAAAGAGGAGGGCTGGGCATTGTGCATCCAGCAGGTCTCAGGGCCTAAAAACAAAAGATTTCTTGGGGTTATATCCTCAGCATTGAACCGGTTGCCAGTCTCAAGTCTCTCCTTAACCTGCTTGTTTTACCCTGAGACTCCCTGATGACCACCAGGCCACAGGAAAACTGCAGCAAATCCTAGGTCCAGAACCCTTCAGGTCTTCTGCCTTCCGCTTGCAGCGACCTTGATGAGAGGATGTGTGTTAAGAAGCGGTTCCCTGCTAAGCCTGGTGGTGCAACTTATAATCTGAGCACTTTGGGAGGCCAACATAGGAGAATCACAAGGTTGAAACCAGCTTGGTCAATTTAGTGACTTAGCAAGACCCTGTCTCAAAATTGAAAATAAAAATGGGCTGGGGATGTGGCTCAGTGCAAAAGCCAAGTGTTCAGTCCCCAGTGCTTCAAAATGAATCAACGAGCAAATGAATGCACGATCCCCCCTGCCACTGATGGAAAGCTGACCGACCTTAGCTGAAGAAGAGGCAAGCATTTAATCATCGAAAGTAGGAAAAGTAAGTAGAATATGAAAACAGAATCCAGGAGTAAGAAGCTCTTTCTGGAAATGAGCCACTGGAGATTTTCTGATGCATTTTAAACTTCCCATGAGAGTCTATTCAGAGCGTTCTTCATTTCTGCCTGCTCTCTCATCCCTAAATAATTCTTTCTCCTCTGAAAACCAATTTGGAGAAAGCCACCTGTTTACACCATTTGGTGCTATTACACTGTCACTGAAACAAATTAACACAAGGCTTCCAAAACCACTATAGGTCCACAAAGTTCCTGGAAAGGTGTGAATAAATTTATTAAAAGAACAGGCTATCAAAGTTTTATGTGGCTATTCCATGAACTTTCTATCTGCTTCTTAGATAAGTTTCCATTTTTTTGAAGCTGTGCTTTAGTAACATCTGCCAGCAGACGGAGACAGGAAAATAATATATAGGAGCTGCTGTTGAGTTGAAAGTGGTGGTAATGATATTAAGCAATGTGGATTTATAGTCCATTCACAATGACACATTTGTTTCTGATTTAAGTTAATTAAGACCATTTCGTCTCTTTTCTGCTACCACATGTAACCCTTAAAAAAGGAGAAGCAAATAGACCTAGTTGTTTGGAGAGATTCCAGACAGCAGTAGTTTAATGTCAATCCAGAAGGAAAACGCTGACGGCATTCGTGTCCCGTCACTGTGATTGCATCTGTCAGCCATTGTACTTACTACAGTTACTCAGACTGGTGTCCGGGTCACACAGGGAGCTACCACCGCAGGAGTCAAGGCAGGAACTGTAGCGGCACTGTTGGTCTCCTTCTTGACATGGAGTCTGGCCTACAGAGGGGGAAAAGCACAGTGGCTTTCATCACCTGCACATTCCTTACTCTTGATCAAAAGGATCCAGAATGTCTGGGGGATCTGAGGAATGACATAACTTTAATTTCCTTCCAATTTCTCCAAAAATATTGAACACATGTGCTATAGCTAATTTCTGGATTCCTATTCCTGGCAAATAAATGCAATGCCATTATTTGCAAAGGATTTTGTATGAGGAAAGAAATAGGAGACAACATATACTGAAAAAAAAAAGATTGCTGTTGTTTTAATAGGGGGAAATATAGTGCTTTATTTTTACATGGATCACTATACTTTATTACAAAATAAAATTCAAGTGATTTGAAATAGAGAGAACAATGTAAAGATCTTGAAGTTCTAGATATTAAATAGCATTACTTGAAAACCTAATTTGCTCTCAACTCTAGTTTTCCCTCTAAGAAAAATGCTGTCCCTAGTGATAAGGCATCAACACCACTGTAATGAAGAGTCTGTATCACAGGAAAGTCTCATGCAGCTGTTGTCCATATTGTCAGTGCGTCCTTGGGAAATGTCACCAGTCAAGTCTGATGGCCTGAGAACTGGGTTTCTTGTTTCCAAATGAATGACAGCAGTAACATCAGCCTTTGCTCTAATGGCTTTTCCTTAAGCCATGTAGAGGGGAAACTGCTTTTCTCATTGATTTCCTGGTCATTTGTAGATTGAGTGGATAAGGTAATAAATTACTACCTATTCTCTCTAACTCTCCCTCATTGTATTCAGCTCCTTTCAGACAGGTCATCTAGAATCTAGACAATCTTGCAAGGCACTTTTCAGTATAAATAGTTGTATTTGTGCAAATGTAATCCTTCTTATCTGTAATTCTAAGACATGTCTCTTTACTGGAATCCTTCTGCTTTCTAAGTCCACTAATATGCAATGTTATGCATTACCATCTTGCAGAAAAGAAATGTCACTATTTTTGTAAGCCGGCAGAATCAAACTGTTATCTCAAGGCCAGCCCAAGCAATCTGTATCTGTTTAAGTTCTTAAGAAAGTTTTCAGGCATCACACGCTCGTTATTTCAGTAAATATTAAGTGGCTGCTGTGTGATCGGTGCTTTACTGAAGAGGCATAAAGAGCAGCTGCAGCAGACAAAGGCAGTATCGAGCCACTTCCCCCAGGAGTTTCCCAGACCGATGGGGTAAGTTTCAAGGAAAGGGAAAGAAGGATTTTCCAAGCAGAAAGCAACATGGGAAAAGACCAGAGATAGAAGAGTGCCCAGGTCAAAGTCACTGAAGTTTTTATCACTGAGAAGAGTGAGGGAGACGGGACAGATAGACAGAGCCAGAGCATGAAGGATTTTAAAGGCCCAAATGTTCAGTTGGATGCAAACCCTCGGGACAAGAGGTTCCTGCTTCCTTCCTCAGGCATCCAGCAGAGCAAACTGCAACTCCTGATGACAGCCTATGTGGACCACGCTCTCCTTCAGCCTCAGCTTCCTCAGTCACTATGGCCTTGTCTGGTACACAGACATGTCTCACTCCTTCCCACCACAGGGCTCTTGGCCAAGCAGTGCTGTGCCTCTGAAATGCTTTTCCAAGTCCCTGTCTTCCTTAACGCTGAGCTCCAGTATTTCTTCTTCAGAAGGCTTTGTCTGGAGTCCTTGCCAGGGCATGCACTCCATCATATTACCCTGGATTATCCTTTGTAGCCTACCTCACTTCATCATAGACAGCAACCTGCAGAGTTTTTATAGTATGCCTATCCCCACCAGAGCCTTGAAAGTTCCATCAGGAGTGCTGCTTGCTGCTGAATTCCCAACCAGATACCCTCCACACTGGCAACACAAGATGCAATTTTAAGCTGAATCTACTGGAGTAAATAATTTAGGGATAAATAGAGATACTGGGATAATGGCGCTTATCTGTAATTTCAGCACTCGGGGAAGCTGAGACAGGAAGACTGCAAGTTCAAGCCCAACGCTAGGCAACTTAGTGACTTAGGAAGACCGTGCCTCAAAATTTAAAAACAAATTTAAAAATAGCTGTGTATGTAGCTCAGTAACTCAGTGAAAAGTCCCTGGATTAAATCTCCAGGACTGCAAAATAATAATAACAACAACAACAATAATAATAATAATATACTAATATTTTCCTTTTTCTTGACATTTTATGAGTTTCTTGCATTTCACATATGTAAGGAAATAGTCTAAAAATCCTGCAATTTTGTAATGAATAATCTAAAATTATTTCAGATTATATGGGATTGCATAGAAAGAATTGACTTATATAGAAAGAAAAAGCAATTTGATCCAAAGGGAAGTGCTTGGTTGATATGCATACATTAACTCATGTCTAGTAAAGGATTTGCTTTTGAGTTTTAAAATCGGTAGAGCAAAGCTGCCTTCATGTATCATTTCCATGTAAACTGATTTAAAAGCTCTCCCTTTAGATTTTAAATGCTTTTTCTATAAAGCCATCATAATGATAAATATTCTTTATGATGAGACTAATTTATCAACAGGTGAGACCAGTCTCATTAGCTGACTATGGGTAAGCACAGCTAATATATGCTTTAACATAATGGCCATGTCATGATAGCCAGCATTCACTAAGTTCTGACCAATCGTCAAAGCTACAAAGCAGTTATCATTCTTCTGCATTTACAGCCATTGAAAGGTGAAAGAATTTGTCTAAAACCAACCAGAGAGTAAGTAGCAAAGTGAGCTTGAAGCCAAGTATAATGGCACAGCAGTCATACTCTCGATAAACAGGCCGAGGCCAGAGCATGGAAACCAACATAGTGATTTTTAAGTTTGGGCTATTCTTACAGGCCCCCACTGAGAGGGAGCTAGAATTAAAAATCCTCAGTGTGGAATTCTCTGACACAGTCACATTTAAAGAACGACGGATTTGATTTACTTTTTCACTTGAAGTTTCCCACATAGATATGATGCTCCTTTTGAAGTGTATCTCACTCATGTCTTGGTAATGGAAGACAGTAAACTCCTTCTCTGAGCAGGCTTATTTTAAGAAGCTGATTCATTTAATTTCAAAAGCCAAGTCCATCTAATTGCAATCTAACCTCATTTAATTATGTGCTGTACTCTGGATGATTCTCATAGCCATTCCACGGCATCTCTCCCCTTTACCTGAGGAATGCTTTTGCAGCAGATGCTTCTTGGACTCTATATTAACCATAAGGAAAAGTTTCCTAGTGGCTGGGGCTAGATGGACACTTGTGTGGGAATCTTCCTGAAGCGCGATGTAACTTTCAGGTGCTTTGTTTTGTTCCTAAGAAAAGGTCCACCGATAAAGGGCTGCCCCAGGGGCTAGGGACACACTCACTGTCACTGCAGTCCTGCTCATCACTTCCATCCTTACAGTCTTCATCTCCATCGCACTGGAAAGTGCTTGGGATGCACTGTCCGTTTCTGCATTCCACCAGACCTTGACTGTCACAAGCTAGGAAAGGCCAGAGTAAGATTTGCTTTATTTATTCACTCTTCTTTTAATCTGCAGTTCACATAAATCATTCCCACATCACCAAGAAATGATGTTCTATGTTCACAAATGGATATATCATTGTTTCTTGTAACTTTGACCATTTTTTGGAATAGAAGGTTTTCTTTCTAAAATAGTTCCTCCCTTATTGAAGACTGTATACTACAAATTAACCTTTTCTTGGGAACTGTGTGATTTTTTTTCAATGGTGGTGGTGGTAGCAATATGACCAATAATATAAACTACAACTCATGAAGGGCATGCTACAAGGCAAGAACTATGAACAGGGCATTTTGAATATGATTTCCAAATCCTCATAAAAATCTTGTAAAGTAGATGCAATTATCTGGTCATTTACAGGAAAATGAACAGATCTTGAGCCTATGATACTGTGAAGTAATCAGAAACAAAGATTAAATATCATTTGGTTTCTTTTAAATGAGAAAACAAAGATATAAATAAAGAGAAAAATGAGAGGTGGTAGGGAATCGGGAGATAGATTTTGTGGAAATGGGAAGAGAATCTGGAAGTGGGGGAGAGGGAAGGAGGAAGAAGAGCAAAAGTGATCAAGATATGATATCAATGTGCACCAATTCCCCAAAATGAGTGCATTACAAATATATACTAATAAAAATGAAACTAATAATGTTTTTAAATGACATTATTATAGTCCTCCTCTTACAGATGAAAAAACTGACACTCAGAGTTTGTTGTGCCCATCTAAAATTCACATGGCTACCAGGCAAACTTTTCTGACTCCAGGCCCAATATTGCATTCCTTAACTACCTCCCCTCATGAAACAAAGAAATAATACATAATATATATGCCTGTGAACTCACAGAGTACCTCACACACAAAAACTCTTTATTCTTGAACTTTTTAATGACATCTAATATTTGACAGGGATGGACTGGTAGCAATTAGCCTTTTCATCCCTGTCTTTTCTTTGTTTCTTTTTTTTCTCAATTTTTATTATTTTATTTATACATGTTTGCAGCACATAGCAATTACATTTCAAGAGGACAGTTGGTACATGCACATAAGACATCTTAATTCTTTTTCTTCCCCTTTCCCTCCTCTCCCTCACCCTTCCTCAATGTCTTGGTCCCCTTCCATTTGTAAAAGGTCTATCGCCCTAGTTCCTGTTCTCAATGTCTTTCAAGAGCATCAGAAACCCATGTGCCATTGACCTCATCCTTTCTTGAATTACCATGTAATGTTAAGATCCCTGGTCTTGAATCAAAGCCCAGTATAGATACATTTAACCTAGCACTGTGTCCTCACTGCCCAAGTATATCCCACTGCGTTCCAATGGATCCCTAAGCAAGAACGGGTCACGTGCATTTCAAATTCAACTCATGACAATGGAAAGCTAAGCACCGAGTTTGTATAAATCTTTATGAGACTTTTCTTATGCCAAAAGAAAATCTATGTTACCTACAGTTTTAGTTTTGCCTCAGATTATAAACCAATTAAATATTTAATCTCATATATTGCATTAGATATTGTAAGTAAGCTAGAGATTATTTAAAGTGTACAGGAGAAGAGTTGGGGATTTAGCTCAGTGGTTCTGCCGCCTGCCTTGCAAGCACAAAGTCCCGAGTCTGATCATTGGTACCAAATTTTTTTTAATTAATTAAATGAATAAAGCATACAGGAGGACTTGAGTAGGTTATATACAAATACTGTGCCATGTTATATAAAGGACTTCAGTATCCCTAGACTATCCTGGTTCCCACTGAAGGTCCCATAATCAAAGCCATCCAGATACAGAGGGACAACTGTGTATTAACTATTCCTGGTTTTATTAGACAACAAAAGATAAAATGAAAAGTTTAACTAGTCCAAGCATGCATGAAAGCCATCGTACTGACTCATTCAGATGAATCATGCTCTCTTTTAATTGACAAACATAACTGTTTAATATTTTTTATTATTGCTGACTGGAGACAGTATATTTTCTGTGAGTGAAAAATGGCTAATAGTCACATTTGTTCTTACTGGTTTGGTAGTGTAAGAGCTAACCCCAAATTTTCATTCACTCAGAAACACTGTAAGCTATAAAATGATAATTACTATCATACACTGTCTGTTTCACTGTCTGAACAGGACAAGCTCTCTTCTCCCTGGTAATGTTCTTGGTGTTCGCCCACAAATGGCCCCTGAGAACACTTTTCCAGGCTTACAGGGAGGCTCAGATGCTCAGATACTGCTTGCAGGATAAAGGTCTTCTGATTTGGGGGAAGAGCATTACGTTTGGCAAGATCATAAATGCACAAAGTAGACACCTGCCCGACCAGATTCACCAAATCACACTGGGAGTTTGGGAGAGAAGGGTGGGAAGTCAGGTACACCGCATTATTCCTTACAGGAGAGAAGCAAGGTACTGACCGGGCTCTTTCCCTTTGAGTGCTGCCAGGCAGTGAGCCTTGGGCAAGCTAAGCGAGGAGAAACGGGAAAACAGGCAAACTGAATCCTCAGTGTACTCACAGCAATTGGCCTCATCAGATTTGTCCACACAGTCGTGGTCACCGTCGCACACCCACTCGGCCGTGATGCAGCGCCCGTCCCCACAGCGGTGCTCCTTGGTGGGATTGCAGTCTGGAGAAAAGCACACTCGTGAAGACGGGACAGTTGGCATGAAAAGCACAGACAGCTCGCCTTTCCAGATGAAGAGAAACTGTTCCCATTGCTCCAGTACCTGCAATACCACTTCTGTGCAGGGCCTGACACAATTCAGAGCCTTCCGCAAAGCCTGAGCACGCTGCTGTGGAGTAAGGTGTGTCTGGCTTTGTTTTAGATGAATAACAACTCCGCCCAGCTTTCCCGTGGCCCCCAGTTCGTTACTGTTGTCATGGCTTGTTTGCTTGTGAAAAATGTATGGTTGTTATATTGACTCAGAGCAACAGAACTGTGATTTGTGCCTCACAAAGCAGAGACGATTGGATGTATTTGTGGCAGATCCTTCATGTTTCTAAAAATGGTTAACTCACCTTTCGCGAAATTAGGAAATTAGGAAGGCGAATATCTTCTTATCTCATCTTTCTGGTGCTGCGAGGCTTAGATTCTCTACTGGACTACCTTAACATATAACTCATATTTAAAGAATTGCTCAGTGAACAAAAGAAAATATTTCCATGATTCTAGATTCATACTCTGCCTCCATCTATACATCCCTGGAAGAAAAATAATATATACCACAAGATGCTAAGTTTCTCCTCACAAAGGGCAGAATCCAGAGCTATTTTGCCCTGAGAGGTGGTGCAACCTACATGCACACAGCTCTTTGACGATGTGTATGGACTTCCAAAGGGCAGAGCTAATACTGGGAAAGTGTCATGAGTTTCCCTTAGCAGAGCCACTGTCACAGACTCCTGACAGACCAAAAGGTCTGTACAGAAGACAGTGAGGAGAACAGAAGAGCACAAGAGGTGAGAGACTTGGCAAGAACTAGAAAAGCCACCCCTGCTCAGCTGCTAGAGATGGAGAGCAGGAGAGAGACTGGGCCAAGGGAAAGTCATGGTCGTTGCCTTGAAATGAAGACCATCTTGAGAACACAAGCTTCATGATGTCCTTGTATCTTCAGAGGCCTCATGCTGAGGGGAAAGAGCACCCCTTTGTGACCATGTCCGGGCCCTCCTGACTGTCCTCTCCAGCTGCCAAGATACACGGCCACATTCCCCACTACTCCACCGCGGAAAGAAAGGCTTGGATTAGATGATCTCTGAGGCATCCCGACCTATTATTCGATGGCTTACATAATTACAACTTTCTTTCTCCCTTGATCTCAAGTCTAGCAAGTCCAAGAAAATCATCTGCATCGACCTACTCATCATTTGGTTTGTACACTTATACCCGTGTAAACCTGCGGCATGTGTGCCACAGTGGCGGTGTGAGCCAAGGCACCCCAGCATCACCACAGCAGCTAAGCACTCAGATTTCATTGCAGTGCTGCCACTTTGCAATAAATACACGGGTTTGGGGTTGCAGTTTGGGTACTGGGTCTTTAAAAGCTTGGCCATCACTGACTTAGACATCTGTCAGTGCTTTTATGAATCAGACCCTTGCCACTCCAACACATCCCTCCTATCATGCTCCTGCTACTTCCCAACAGTGCTTTCCATACTCTCTAATGCCGAACACTCTCACATCATGTGCCATTCCCATCCCAGCGACCCCCATTGCTCATATGGCAAAGTTTCTATTGTCAGTCAATATTACAGTACCTAACATTTCTAAAGCGAATCACAGAGCCAAGACATCAATATACTAAATAAATTTTCAGGTTTAAATGCCCGAAGTGACTTTCAGAAATTAATATGACTCTTTCAAAAGCAGGTTTATTCTTTAAAAATTAAAATCAGTATTTTTCCATAAAGGAGATGTGTTTCCCTAAGCCTGGGTATAGCTACTGCTGGAGGAGACCCTGTAATGCTTGGGAAGTGAATACAGGAAGGCCTGTTGCTTATACATAGGACTTTGCAATACAGCTGTCTCAAAGTTTTGCTCAAGAGCTCAAATCCAAACATAAACCACCGGCTGTGACTAGAGGAGAAAGAGAACATTTACACAGAAACAAATGTATTGGGACTGGCAAAGTTGGCCCATCTTTCTACCCTACTTCCTTACTATCTCCCCATATGACTTTATGAGTGAAGCATTTCTATATAAGACAGAATGATTCAACAAACTTCCTCCTTCTAGAACCTACCATTGTATAATTCAGTGTGTTCATGGTATTAACAGCATACACCTCTGTGGCTCTCGGTTACAACCATTAGGGAAACAAGGCCACTTACCGCAGTTTTGCTCATCACTGAGATCTCCACAGTCGTCATATCCATCACACACAAAGCTGTGATTCAGGCACTTGCCCGTGTGACAGCGGAACAGATCCGCGCTGCAGTCTGTGAACAGGAGAAGGTCCCAGTGTGTCACCAGGGGACTGCAGATGCCACAGTAGTACTTTAACAAAAGCGATCACAGGCAGAAGGAAGCCCACTGCTAACTTGGCCCACACCCACTGTTTTACAGGTGTGAGACTGGAATGGAGATCCAATGACTTGCTCAGGGTCACATGATAGTTTACTGTAAAACCACTACTAAGCCCCTCTGAGTGCCCAGACAAGGATTTCTGTCATTTGTTTAAAAGTGTTTATCTAACCTTTGTTTTACATTGCCTTTAAGCTCCCAAATAGACCCAAAGTTCTATTTTCATTTCACCATGCCACCTAATGAAGCCATACACAATGGATGATTTTAAGGGGAAGTTAGCAATTTTCCCCTAGAAGTATTCCCTTTAGAGTCAAAGTCTATGTTGGTCAAATATAAACATAATAGAGAATGTGTGCTGTCTAGATTATAAAGTTATCATTTCTTTTCATACAAATAAGTATTAATGCCATATGAGTTGTGTGTTCCATAACATGGTCCTCAGATAAGCAAGTGCTGCCCTAAGGTTATGGTGGCAAATGAGAATGAATGGTATGTAATCTCAGGAATTGTATAACTAGTGTTGGAACCAAGTATATTCAGGGAAATTCTTTCTCAATATTAATAAGAAGATAGGTCTCATACATGGGTAGATTATAACTCCTATCCTTGTTCTGACATCTACTAGCTATAGATTTGTAGTGTGTTGGTTCAACTTGAGTCTGTGAACTGATCTATGAAATTGGAATCACATAATCCACCTAATCTTTGGGAGAAGAGTTTAATTAAATAATACATGTAAAATGCCAAGACACTACAATAAGAATGTTCTTTTCATTATATGGTGTCAGGATAACTAGATATCAAATAAGCAGTAAATGAACTCATGGTTTCACCTCATACCATGTTCAAAGATCAAAGAGATCATAGAGGGCAAGGCATTTAGCTCAGAGGTATCACTGCCTGCCTCACAAGCGCAAGGTCCAGATTTTGATTCCCAGTACCAAAGAAAAAAGAAAAAAGAATCATAGATTTTCAGATAAAGTTTCCAGAAGAAAACATAGGGGAAAATATTTATGATCTTGAATTAAGCAAAGAATTTTCAAATATGGTACCACAAGTACAACAATTCAAAAGACATCATTAAGAAAGTGAATAGGGGTAGAGGAAAGGTAATAAGGGAAAAAATATGTGAGAAAATGAAAAATGGAAATAAAGTGTTTGTAAATGGAGAGGGGAGGAGGAGGTGAAGGGAGGGCAGGGACAAGGGGAAAAAATGAGAATCAAGACCTATTATGTAAAGGTACAGAATCCCAATAATGAATGTAACTGTACTGTATACCTAAACTCAATGAGAGGGAAAAAAAAGAAAATGAATAGGGCCAGGAATTTAGCTCAGTGGTTCTACCACCTGCTTCACATATTCAAGGACCTGAGTTCAATCCCTGATACAAAAAAGAAAGAAAGAAAGAAAGAAAGAAAGAAAGAAAGAAAGAAAGAAAGAAAAAAGAAAATGAATAGACGAGCCACACAACTAGAAAATTTCAAGACACTCAATAATAAAAAAAAA